TTAACTCGAGCTGCAGGTTAGTTACAGAGCTTCTGGGCATACCTGATCGATTTGTAGTCGTCAGGCGCGCAGGTAGTTCTTCGAACTCGGTCTGCTATCAGAGCTAGGTCCGCGAAACTATTCGTAATATACGAATTTCTGTTTGAGATGATCATCAGTTTCTTGACTTAACTCGCGCTGCAGATGAGCTATAGGGTTGTTTGGCACAGCGATCGGAATAACATCGTCAGGCGCGCTTGTTCAACGTATCCAGACGCCTGAACTCGGTCCGCTATCTTGTAAGGGTCAGAAGAACTGTTCCTACTTTGCTAAGAGTCTTCCAGAGATGGTGATGGTTTCTTGCTTAATTCGAGCTGGAGGTGATCTATAGAGCTGTTCGGCAGAGCAAGGAACGCAATCATCAGGCGCGCCAGTTTAACGTATCTAGACGCCTGAAATCGGTCTGCTATCAGCGCTGGGACCGAAACACTATCCGTACTCTGCTAATTCTTGTGTAGATAGTGATCGTTTTCTTGACTTAACTCGAACTACAGATGCGCTACAGAGCTGTTCGGCACAACAATCGGAAGGCAATCATCATGCGCGCTGGTTCAAATTTCTAGACGCTTGAACTCGGTCTGCTATCAGTACTGGGCCGAACAACTATTCGTACTCTGCTTTCTTTTAGAGATGGAGATGGTTCCCATGACTTAACTCGAGCTGCAGAGAAACTACAGCTGGTTGGCACAGATTCAGAAGGAATTTAGCTAGTTTCAAGTGCTCGAACTCGTCACGCTTTAGAGTTGGAACCAGACATTATTCGTATTCTATTTTTTTCCAGAGATGCTTTCTTCTCGCTCCTTCTTCTCCTCCGTCCTCCTCCATGAGACTGCGCGCTTGCGCGCGCAATTCGAGATTGCCACGCCCGCATTGCACGAGGAAGCTCTACGAGCTCCCGGCGGTAACCAGCTGTGTGTGTGTGTGTGTCGGGCATGCGCGCATGTTGGTATAAGAGCTCCGCATGCTTTTCACTTTGTTCGAAATAGGAGTTTCGCATGTGCCCACTTTCGCTCAAAGAGTGGTGGGTGTCTTGCCTGACTCTGTATGCCGCCCGTTTTTCCTGCTTGCGACTGGGCCTGACGGCCCGCGTAGTCGATCGCAAAGACCGCAAAACCAAGGTTGACGGTTTACCGCCGGCTCCAGTTGGCCCACCCGGCCCGGGCGGACAATGTGGTAACTTTGGGTCGGTTTTGCTAAGACTTGAAAGATATTTGACAATTGATTTTGAGAGACCAGATTTTTCGCACCTGTGAAAGACTATGAGGGCCTCTGCGTCTTAATATGAGCTCCGTGGGCGCACTTTTACTATCAAAACACTTGTGGAACCAACTTCATGTCGACATGAAAATGCAGAATTGAAGATTTCACGAGCATCTTCTGCGAAGTTTCCTCCTTCGATTCTGAGCACTCTTACGCGCGCAAAGAGCTCTATGAGGTTCCCGGCGGTGACCAGGTTGCTGCTGTCCCTCCTCGGGGATCTCAGCGGTGGCCTGGCCCGTCGGGGGCTTCCTCAAGCCTGTCTCCTCAGGCTGCCCCCTGGGCGGCCGTGTGCGCGCGGGCGGGCCGTGCAATAAATTCGGGTACTTCGTCGGCTGCGACGACCTTCTCTCCTTGGCCTACAGATGATAGGTGCTGGAGGCCAGCTCTGTTTGGCATCAGAAGTGGGACTGACTTCAACGCATAGGCCGCTGTCGTCGCTTTGTACTTGTTTGTACTGCCTGCTTGCGCTTTCTCTATTATTGCTCTTGCACGCGTGTGTATTCTTTGACATTGAGGTACTTTGACAGTTCTGTGACATTGGAGTATCTTGAGATTGAGGTTCTCTGCATTGTATCGGCGTGCCTGTTTTCATTCTTTCTTTCTTTGAATCGTATCGATCAGAATTCAAGATACTTGAGTGCGTTATCAGACACTCAGTTATGCAGGTGATTCAAGATACTGAGTGCGTTATCAGACATTCAGTTATCCGAGAGTTACTTCTTGAGTGCGTTATCAGACATTCAGTTATCACACATTTGACGTGAGCATACGACTCTTGTCTTACCGCGGGTTGTTACGACATATTTCGGACTTTGTGTTTGCGTTGACTCTTGCCATGCTGTGTGTGTCGGACATGCGCGCATGTTGGTATAAGAGCTCCGCGTGATCTTCACTTTGTTCGGAATTAGAGTTTTGCATTTGCCCACTCCCGCTCAAAGAGTGGTGGGTGTCTTGCCTGACTCTGTGCACAGTCGACCGCAAATTCGTTGTGTTTCACGTGCATGGTCGTTCAGTGGTGCTGAGACGGTAATCGCTATATGTGGTTACTGCATGGTCTCGCATTACTTTGAAGTGTACTCGTCATTTTAGTTGTTAGTTTTGTGTTTGTCTCAGTGGTGTTGAGACGGTAATCGCTGTATAAACCAGTCGTTACTGCATGGTCTCTCACTGCTTCTATTCTCAGTGGTGCTGAGACGGTAATCGCTATATGTGGTTACTGCATGGCATTGCTTTTACTCCCTCTTTATATTTTAGTTGTATTCTCGTGTATTGGCAGTCTTGTGCATATCTGTACAGCTTCGCTGTTTGATGCACCTCTGCTTCAATCTTTGCAGCTTCGCTGTCTTCCTGTACAGCTTCGCTGTTTAGGTTCTTTGTGTTTAGGCCTGCTCCCATGGGAGCTCGATCCGGCCTTCGCAAAAGACGCAAAAGACCAGGTTGACGGTTCACCGCCGGCACCATACCTCGTAGAGCTCTTCGGCATGGATGAGCCAGAGGAATTCCGGCGCGGGGTGCAGCTAGTTGACCCACCCGGCCAGAAAAGAAGATGTGACAACTGTGGGTCGGTTTTGCTAAGTTTCGAAAGATATTAGACAAGTCTAATTGAGATATAAGATTTTTACGTCCAGCATTAGTGTTTAAACTTTACTCTGAGAGAGAATCAGCTCTCTAGAGAGAGTCTTACTATCGAAAATGCAAATTTGACGTTTTTCTAGTTTCTCTTTGGAGGAACCGACATCAGGTTGACACCGACAAATGCAAATTTGACGTTTTTTCCAGAAATGCTCCGAGAAGCTCTCTGCTTCTTGTCCGAGCACTCGCGAGCGTGCCAGGAGCTCTACGAGGTCCCCGGCGGTAGCCAGGTTGACGGCTTACCGCCGGCGCTATTCCGACGCGCTGGGGGGCTAGTTGGCAACGAAAATATCATTTTTTCTTTTTTATATATATATCTATATATATAATATATATATAAACACATTTTGTTTTGTTGAACTTCGACTTCTTGAAATTCTGCAGTTCCTTAGAGCTCTAGAGTTTTCTCCTCACATTCCATCTTATTCCCGCTCGCCGTCTTAATCTCAGGTCGATCGGGTAATACTACTGCCAAAAAGCACTCAGGCGGGATCGGCTGTTTTGGGTCATCGGGACAGCTGCTTCGGTTTTCTCAACTTAACTCGAGCTCTAGGTCATTTACAGAGCTGGTAGGCACACCTAAGCGATCTAGAATCGTCAGGCGCGTCAGTCCCAATCAACTAGATGTCTGAACTCGGTCTGCTACTCGAGCTAGATCGGCGGAACTATTCGTACTCTATTATTTTCTAGAGATGGTGATGCGCTTCTTGACTTAACTCGAGCTGCAGGTGAGCTACAGAGCTGTTCGGCACAGTAATCAGAAGGAAATGCTGAGACGCGACAGTCTGAAGTATCCAGACGCCTGAACTCGGTCTGCTATTAGCGCTGGAGCCGAAACACTTTCGTACGCTGCTGGTTTTTGGAGATGGTGATGGTTTTCTTGACTTAACTCGAGCTACAGATGAGCTACAGAGCTGTTGGGCACAGCAGTCGGCAGGAAATCATCAGGCGCGCTAGTTCAAAGTATCTAGCCGTCTGAACTCGGTCTGCTATCAGCGCTGGGGCTGAAAAACCATTCGTACTCTGCTAATGTTTTGGAGTGGGTGATGGTTTTCTTGACTTCACTCGAGCTGCAGATGAGCTACAGAGCTGTTCGGCCCAGTAATCGGAAGGAAATGTTCAGACGCGATAGTCTGACGTGTCTAGACGCCTGGAATCGTTCTCCTATCAGCGCTGGAGCCGCTAGTTTTTCGGAGATGGTGACGGCTTTCCTGACTTGAATCGATTTGCAGATGAGCTACAGAGCTGTTAATCATCAGACGCGCTAGTTCAAAGTATCTAGACGCCTGAAAGCAGTCTGCTATCAGCCTTTGGTCTGACAAACTATTCGTACTCTGTTAATTTTTGGAGATGGTGATGGTTTTCTTGACATAACATGAGCGACCGAGCTGTTTGGCACAGAAATCGTAAGGGGAATCCGGCGCGTTAGGTCAGAGTATCTAGACGCCTGATCTTGGTCTGCTATCAGCGCTGGGGCTGACAACAGCTATTCGTACTCTGCTAGTTCTTTCGAGATTTTTTTTTTTTTTTTTTTTACTTAACTCGAACTGCAGATAAGGTACAGAGCTGTTCGGCACAGCAATGGGAAGGATGTCATCAGGCGCGATAGTCTGACGTATCTAGACGCCTGAACTCGGTCTGCTATCAGCGCTGGGGCTGAACAACTATTCGTACTCTGCTAATTTTTTGGAGATGGTATTGGTTTTCTTGACTTAACTCGAGCTGCAGATGAGCTACATACCTGTTTGGCACGGCAAGCGGAAAAAACCAGGCGCGCTAGTTTAAAGTATCTAGACGCCTGAGCTCGGTCTGCTATCAGCGCTGGGGCCGAAAAACTATTCGTACTCTGCTTATTTTCTTAGAGATGGTGATGGTTTTCTTTGCGCTGTTCGGCGCAGCAATTGGAAGGGAATCAGCAGGCGCGCTAGCTCAAAGTGTCCAGGCGCCTGATGGTACGTCTATTTTTCCAGAGAATCTTTTCCCTCGCTTCTTCTTCTACTCCACGCCCCCCTCCATGAGACCGCGCCCCCGCGCGCGCAATGCGAGATTGTCGCGCCCGCATTGCGCGCGGAAGCTTTACGGGTTCCCGCCGGTAACCAAGGTTGCGGAAGTGGAGCTTACCTCCCGCTCTCCCGCGGCCTTGGCCCGTCGGGGACTCCTCGAGCCGCATCGTGCGGACAGGTTGTGCATGCACGCGTAACGTGCATCTCTGAGTACCGAACGGGTGATCTGTCGGCATTGGATTGATTAGTTGTTCTTGCGTGCCCCTTCCTTGTGCGGCATCATGACAGCGCAATTTTGTTCGATGAGTTCTGTTTCGACCAGTTGGAAAAGAAAAACAAGGAGAATCAAACTGGCGATGTGTAGACAAGCTTTAATTGATGTTATGCAGTTTAATGCTCGTGATCCATATTTTGTGGCTGATCCGAATACTTTCCCCGCGTTTGGCTGGTTTGATAACCTCGATGATTGTGCGCGAAACCCATGCCCGTTTCAGGGGAACTCGGAGGAGCAGGTCAGTATATTGTTCAGTTCCTTATCGGTGCCAACTGATGGGCCAACTGATCGTGGAGAAGCTTTCTCGTCTCATTCGGTTGCGTATTCTCCAGATGTGGTGCAGTCTCCAGATGGTTGCCCTCGCGGAGAAGTACGATACACGAGTGTGAAGCACCTTCCGCACGATGCGGTTCGAACCGCACGAAGAAGCCCCACGAGTCCCCGTAACCAGACGCCGTCTTGGTTACCGCCGGGAACTCGTAGAGCATCCTTATGCTCTGAAGTTTGCCACACTCCATTTCCTGACACTCTGTCGGCTTCTGTTGACCCAGGTGTTCGGAAAGAGGAGTTGCATGATGAGGAGTTGCAGGATGTGGGGTTGCAGAATGAGGAGTTGCTGAATGAGCAGTTGCATTGTTCTCATCATACATGTTATACGGCCTCACGCCCTGAGGTTTGCCACACTTCAGCTTCTGACGGAGACTCAGCTTGCTATGGAAAGGATTGGCAGGGGGATCTTAAGGATTTCAAGGACGAGGAGGAGGAGAATGTTCATGTTGAGTCCGTGGAGAGTTCTACGGCAGTTGCTGCTGAAGAAGCGTCGCTTGCTTCTCAATCAAATGATGCTGTACTGCACTCAGTTCCTTTGGATTATTCTCTGCACTCAGCTCCTTTGGATTATTCTCTGCACTCAGTTCCTTTGGATTATTCTCGAGTGCAAAGGGAAGGTGGAGGCCCCGAGGCGCCGCCGTTGGCATCCTCGAAAACCCACGGGGAGTGCGAAGTTGACCAGCGTAAAGATAACTGTGCTTCTTCTTCCCGGCTCTGTTCAGATGAGTTGCAGAGCAATCGATCTGAGTGTCAAGCTGCCAGGGACTGGACCCGTGCCAATGACGATGCAGTTGCTCTTTGGCGGGAATTCGAACGGCTCCCGAAAGATGAGTTTCATGGTCGGATCGAGGCGCTCAAGGCATACAAACTTCGAATGGGAATTGAGAGTTCCGAGGAGGCGCCGAGTCCTGAGGAGGATGCTGGCCGTGGGAAAGGCCAGAGGCACCGCGGAAACAGGAGGCGGGCAAGGGCGAAGGCTCAGGCAGATCTAATTGGCTCTTCACACCCTGGGAGTTCCACGACTGGGAGTTTATCTAATGCAGTTGTGAGTTCAGCAGTGACGGAGGACGAGGAGAAACGTAACCACGCATATTATTTGCTTCAGTTGGCGGGTAATTTAAGGATCAGGAAATACTGCTTCCGCAAGTCTGGCTGAAAGCTCGTTCACTCTTTCACGGCCGCCACGCTGGATCGCCTTATGGCCTCGAGTGCCGAGGAAAAGGCTGTGTTGCTTGAAGCGCTTCTTCGGGATCGCGCGAGACTTGGCCCGATAGCCAATTTGACCCATCTGTCGACGGACATCAGAGTCTTTAGGCACCGCAGACTCGTTCCCAAAAGCGTTTCGGAAGCTATGAGATACGTGACGAATTTTCAGGATGAATGGATGCGTCGCAATGTAAAGAACTACCGCGAGTTGGCGGCCATGGCGGGATGCCCAATTGATTGCTTGATTTAGTGATTGCACATAGGCTGACATGGTTGGCCAGAACCAGAAATTGTTACGTTGTATTCCATACTTTTCTTATTGAACATGCGAGCAAAACACAACTAGACGGCCTCCGTGGATTCCTCGACGGAGGTCGCTCTGTGGAGGGATGTGCTGCGTAATGGTGTTTAGATTTGTGTGTGCACGGAACGTGGCTGTTGGTGGCGGAGGAAGCTTTCTCGCTTGATGCCTCTGCTTCTGTCGTGTTCTGTGTGATGTTTGCAGCGCAGCGGCTCTGTGTGGCCGTGGTGCACGTTTTGCGTAGCCTCTTTCATCTCTAACCTGTTCTTACACCTTTGCAATTTCACATGTCGTGCTGCATCCTTTTCCTTGTTCCTGCATCCTATTCCGATGCCTATGCCTCAGTGGCTCGGCAGTGTGATGATAAGAGATGCCTTCTCTAGCTACCCTGTGCTCCGTTTGGGAGTCTTAGGGCTCAGCTGTCACAGCTGTCCGCGCCCTGACTCAAACTCAAACTCAAAAGCCAAGGTTGACGGTCCACCGCCGGCTCCCAGTAATTCCGGCGCGCCTGGGGGCTAGTTAGCAACAACAATCTCGACGGAAGTTTTTTTTTGACTTGTTTAAATTGGATTTCTCGAAATTTATCAATTCGTTAGAGCTCTCGTATTTGTTCTTCTCATATTGATGTTGTTGCCACTCGCGGTGTTAATCTCAGGTCGATCGGGTACATATTACTGCCAAAAAGCACTTGGGCGGGATCGGCTGTTTTGGGTCATCGTGACAGGGTCTGTCGGTTTTCTCAACTTAACTCGAGCTGTAGGATAGCTACAGAGCTGGCAGGCACACCTAATCGATCTAGAATCGTCAGGCGCGTTCGTTTGAAGTGTCCAGATGTCTGAACTCGGTCTGCTACTTGACTTAACTCGAGCTGCAGATGCGTTACAGAGCTGTTCGGCACAAAAATCGGAAGGAAATCATCAGGCGCGCTAGGTGACAGTATCTAGTCTGCTATCAGCGCTGGGACTGAAGAACTATTCGTACTCTGCTATGTCTTTAGAGATTGTGCTGGTTTTTTGACTTAACTCGAGCTGCAGGTGAGCTACAGAGTTGTTCGGCACAGCAATCGGAAGGAAATCATCAGGCGCGCTAGTTTAAAGCATCTAGACGCCTGACCTCGGTCTGCTATCAGCGCTGGGACCGAACAACTACATGTACTCTGCTAATTTTTGGTTTTGTTGAGTTAACTCGAGCTGCAGATGAGCTACAGAGCTCTTCGGCACAGCAATCGGGAGGAAATCATCAGGCGCGCTAGTTTAAAGTATCTAGACGCCCGAACTCGGTCTGCTATCAGCGCTGGGTCTGAAAACAACTGTTCGTACGCTGATACTTTTTTAGAGATGGTATTGGTTTTCTTGACCTAACTCGAGCTGCAGATGAGCTACAGAGCTGTTCGGCACAGCAATCGGAAGGAAACTATCACACGCGCTAGCTTAAAGTATCTAGACGCCTGAACTCGGTCTGCTATCAGCGCTGGGGCTGAACAACTATTCGTACTCTGCTAATTTTTTAGACTTTACGCTGGTCGGCACAGCAATCGGAAGGAAATCAACAGGCGCGCTAGCTCAAAGTGTCCAGATGCCTGAACTCGGTCTGTTTTTTTTTTTTTTTTTTTTTTGTTCCTAGAGATGCTTTTCCCTCCTTCTTCTCCTCCACGCCTCATCCATGAGACCGCGCCCTCGCGCGCGCAGTGCGAGATTGCCGCGCCCGCATTGCATGAGGAAGCTCTACGAGGTGCCGGTGGTAACCAAGGTTGCCGGTTTACCGCCGGCTCCAGTTGGCTACCCCGGCCCGGGCGGACAATGTGATGACCTGGGGTCGGTTTTGGAAAGATTGTGAGAGATTTTGAAATTCGTTTGCGGAACCGGTATCTTGCGCAGCTGTAGTGGGTTATGCCGCGTTTGCCATGTAAATTCTCAGGACGGTAGCTGCAGTATTTCTATCAAAACACTTGGCGGATAGGGAGAGGGCAGTAGTGCAGAGAGTGGCGACTCGGCACTCTCTGCAACAATGCCCCCCCCCCCCATGGCCTACTAGCTTCGACGCTGCCGAGGGCCGAGGGCCGAGGAAGTGCCCGTGGCCCCCCTTAGCCCCCAACCCCCAGGACGTGGTCGACGCCAGAGCGGCGCTGGCGCGAGTGATGGGCGGACCGGGCCGCCTGCACAGACATCGTTGCCAGCGGCATTTCCAGGCGAGGAGTCGGAGGAAGTGGAGGAGTCGGACGAGGAGGTCAAGAACAGTTCAACGAGGATGAGCAGGCGGAGGTCGGAGGAGGAGGCGGAAGAGGAGACTAACGAGGAGAGGGATGGGGGAGGAGGAGGCGATGGTGGAGGAGGCGAAGCAGGAGGGGGGCTCTGGAGGAGGGCGACGGGGAAGGGGGGCGACGACCGCGGCCCGAGCAGGGTCTTGCTCTTGGGAACGGGCCCTTGCCTCGCGGAGCACGCCGTGTCCAAGTCTTTCTGGGCGCACTTGACGAGGACATTCCTGTCGTCGATCGTCGTCGTGGTCGTCGTTGTCGTCGTCGTCGGAATCCGAATCGGAAGCAGATAAGTCGGAATCGTCGTCGTCGTCGTCGTCGGAGTCCGAGTTGAAGTCCATCTCGAAGTCCGAGCCCGACAAGTCTCGTCGTCCTCGTCCGTCGTCGTCGTCGACGTCGGAATCCGGGTCAGAGTCGTTGAGCTCCCCTGAGAGCGTTAGGCGAAGCTAGAAGAGTAGTTCCGGCGCGCTGGGGGCCAGTTGGGAAAACATCTCGACAGTTTTGGCCGGATCGGTTGTTCGGGTCATCGTGACAGGTGTTGTCGGTTTTCTGATCTTAACTCATCTGTAGAAGAGCTGCAGCGCTGGTAGGCACACCTTATCAATCTAGAATCGTCTGGCGCGTTTGGACTAAGAGTCTATATGAGTGAACTCAGTCTGCTTGTACTCTGCTAATTTTTGGAATTGTTGATCAGTTTCTCGACTTAGCTCGAGCTGCAGATTAGCTACAGAGCAATCGGATAACATATTTGGCAAAGCAAGCGTACTCTGCTATTTTGTGAGGGCTGATGTTCATTTTCTTGACTGAACTGGAGCTGGAGAAGGGCCACAGAGCTCTTAGTCACAACAGTTGTAAGCGAATAGTCAGAAGCGCTAGTCTAAAGTATCTGGTTGCCCGAACTCCGCCTGCCACCAGAGCTAGGTCCGAAAAACTATTCGTACTCCGCTAATTTGTTAGAGTGATCATGGTAATTCTTGAGATAACTCGAGCGAGCTGCAGATGAGCTACATAGCTGTTTGGTACAGCAATCGAAGTGAAATCATTAGACGCTCGTCTGAAGTATCCGGACGCCCAAACTCGTCGCGCTTACAGAGTTCGAACCAGAAAACTGGTCGTACTCTCTCTCTCTCTCTCTCTCTCTCTCTCTCTCTCTCTCTCTCTCTCTCTCTCTCTCTCTCTCTCTCTCTCTCTCTCTCTCTCTCTCTCTCTCTCTCTCTCTCTCTCTCTCTCTCTCTCTCTCTCTCTCTCTCTCTCTCTCTCTCTCTCTCTCTCTCTCTCTCTCTCTCTCTCTCTCTCTCTCTCTCTCTTTTTTTTTTTTTTTTTTTTTTTTTTTTTTTTTTTTTTTTTTTTTTTTTTTTTTTTTTTTTTTTTTTTTTTTTTTTTTTTTTTTTTTTTTTTGAAATCTTAACTTAACTTGACAGGTGCTTTCGGATTCTTAACTTAACTCGAGCTGTAGGAGAGCTAGGAGAGCTACAGAGCTAGCAGGCACCAAATCCATCCAGAATCGTCAGGTGCGTTAGTCCCAAGTACCTAGGCGTGATCTCGGTCTGCTCCCAGAGCAAGTCCGCGAAACTATTCGTTCTCTACCAATATCTTTGGAGATGATGCGTTTCTTGACTTAACTCGAGCTGCAGATGAGCTACATACCTGTTTGGCACAACAATCGGAAGCGAATCGTCAGACGCGCTAGTCTTACCTAGATGCCCGAACTCGTCACGCTTACAGAGTTGGAACCAGAAAACTATGCGTGCTTTTTTGTTTTTTTTGTTTTTTTTTTTTTTTTTTTTTTTTTTTTTTTGAAATGACGATGCGTTTTCATGCTCCCCCTCCTTCGCAGAACCGGGCCCTGCCGCCCTGGCGCCCCAGCAGGCAGCCCGTCGGCGGCCCACCAGAAGAAATGCCCAGTCCCCAGGGGGGGCCCCCGGAGAAACCCGCCCGGGACGCCCGCCCCGCCGGGCCGCGCAGGCCCAAGCCCCGCAGCAACCCGGCCCCCCACGCGGACCCCCGCGACCGCTCGTGTTGGCGCCGGATGAAGGCCCACGCGGCCAACAAAACATTGGGCAGACCCCATGTTGTTTCCAAGCTTGCTTTCCGCGCGATCGGGCGGGCCCACCATTGTCCGGGCGATGCCCGATTCTCCGTGGATTGGCCACTTTTCGGGCGCGCCCATTTTTCCGCACGGCTGGGCCCATCTTTCTGTCGCGCAGGGCCTTCGAGTCCGTTGACAAGATGCTCTTCGGCATTGGTGACCTTTTCTGGGGCAGTGTGTTTCTGGGCATGGACCGCATTTTTCTGGCATGGGCAATCTTTGTTAGGCTGCGCGCGCCCGATATATGCCAGAATTGGACAGTACTTGCTTCAGGCACAGACATTTTCTGTCGGCCATGCACATGTTTGTTCGCCTGGTCATCATTTTCGGGCCATGGGCAGTCTTTATTCGGGCGCGCCTGGCAGATATTGTGTCGGGCGTGGACAAATCTGTGTGCCATCGATTGTGGCTTTGATGGCGGCGTGTCGACGGCTGGTGACGGAGTCGGTTGCTGGATTGATGTTGGTCGTGTCTCGCAGACATATCGTAAGCCGAGCTCCAGAGATATTGTGTGGACGGAGGTGGACAGTGCTGCTTTCTCTATCGACAACAATACTACAGTTACCGATGCCGAGATATCGGCGATTGAACATATCATTGATGTTCGCCCACCAGTTGGTTTGTGATTGCGTTGTTTTCTTCATACTTGTGTGTTCTCATGCATGCGCGTGTGTTGAATAAGAGCTTCGCTTGACTGTCACTTGTTCTTATAAGAGCCTTGCTCCCAAGCTGCCGCGCTCGCTGTGGTGGGCGGTTTGGCTCGCCCTGTATGATGCCCGTTTCTTGCTTGCGACTGGGCCAGACGGCCCGCGCAGTCGACCGCAAAGACCGCAAAACCAAGGTTGACGGTTTACAGCTGGCTCCCAGTTGGGCTACATTTCAGCGTTCCCATGGCCGCCTTCCGCTGCTGCCAGCGTCCGCCGCCGCCCGCCGCCGACCACTGCCGCCCAGCTGCCTCTGCTATCCGGGTTTTGGGCGCCAACAAGTTCCTAAGGTGCAGTATTTCGATCAAAACGGTTCCAGGGACCGTCGTTGTATAAAACCCGAAAAATGCATGTTGCGAGTTTTCAAGCTGATATTCGAGAACGCTCTGTTTCTCGTTACCTTGCACTGATTCGATGAGTCGAGAGCTCTACGAGGCTCCTGGCGGTCATCTGGTTGACGGCTTACGCCGGCGCCCAGTTATCATTATTACTATCACGAATATCGGCGTGGCTCGCCGTCTCCTTGGATTGCTACGCGCGCGAGCAGGGCCTTGTGGTTTCATCTGCCTGCGTGCAGCCACGCCTGACGGTGTCGGGGCCGCCGTGTGTTCTACTGCCGGGCTATTCGGGTTTTGAGCGCCAGCCCTCTTCTCTCCCTCTCCATGAAACCGCGCCGTCGCGCGCGCGGAATGCGAGATTGCGGCGCCCGGATTCCGCGAGGGAGCTCTAGGATTTCCCGGCGGTAACCAAGGTTGACGGTTCACCGCCGGCTCCCAGTGATGAAGAGGAGAACGATGAGAAGGGGGCAGAGAAAGAGCAAGAGGAGAAAGAGGAAAGAAGCACATGAAGAAGGACGAGGCGGAGGAGAGGAAGAAGAAGGGAAAGGACACGAATAGTTGTTTGGTTCCAGCGCTCGCAGCAGGGCGATTTCAAACATGCAGATGCTTGCAACGAGCGGTCCTGATGATTCGTCTAATTGCTGTGCCGACCAGCTCTATACCTCATCTGCAGCTCGAGCTGCATGAAGACAGGCATCGTCATCTCTGGACAAATGCTAGGAGCACGAACATTTGGTTGGTTCGAACACTGGAAGCAAACAGAATTCGGGCATCTAGATACTTGAGACTAGCGCATCCGATGATTTCCTTCCGTTTGCTGTGCCAGACAGCTCTGTAGCTCATCTGGAGCTCGAGTTATCGCAAGAAAGTCATCATAAGATTTCAGTAAGTTAGCAGAGTACGAATAGTTGTTTTCGAATCTAGCTCTGGTAGCAGACCGAATTCGGGCATCTAGATACTCGAGACTAGCGCGTCTGATGATTTTCTTCTGATAACAGTACCAACGAGCTCTGTGCCTTATCTGCAGCTCGAGTTGCATTCATATGCTCGTCATCATCTCTGAAAAATTCGCAGAGTACGGATAGTTTTGCGGACCCAGCTCTGAAAGCAGACCGAGTTCGGGCATCTAGATACTTCAGACTAGCGCGCCTGATGCTTCTTTTCCGATTGCTGTGCCAAGGAGGTCTGTAGCTCATCTGCAGCTCGAGTTAAGTCATCTCTAACAACATGCAAAGTACAATCAGGTTTTCAGACCCAGCTCTGGTAGCAGACCGAGTTCGGGCATCTAGATACTTGAGACTAGCGCTTCGGATGATTTCTGGCCGATTGATGTGCCGAACAGCCTTGGTAGCTCATCTGCAGCTCGTGTTGCATTAAGAAACTCATCATCATATCTAAAAGATAGCAGATTCTGAATAGGTTTACAGTCCCAGCTCTGGCAGGACACCGGGTTCGGACATCTAGATGCTTCAGACGAGCGCGCCTATGATTCTAGATCCATTCGGTGTGCGTACCAGCTACAGCCGATCCCGCCTGGATGCTTTTTGGCAGTGGTAGGTACCCGATCGACCTGAGATTAAGATGGCGAGCCGAAGTAATATCGAATATGAGGAAATACTAGAGCTCTACGGAATGTTCAAATTTCGAGAAATCGAAATCAAACCGGGCAAAATTATGCAAAACTTCCGTCGATATTTTTTTTGCCAACTAGCCCCCCAGCGCGCCGGAATGACTGGGGGCCTGCGGTAAACCGTCAATCAGGTTACCGCGGGGACCCTCGTAGAGCTCTCAACTCCGGAATGAGTGCCAATCTAACAAAGAGAGAGCGTTCTCGAGTGTCAGCTGAAAACTCGCAAAATGTATTTGTTGGGTTTTATACGACGTCGGTTCCCCCTAGTGTTTTGATTAAAATACTGCACCTACAGCCCTGAGAATTGTACCATGAAGCGCGCCATGATCGACTGCAGGGAATAAACATCTGGGTTCCCAAAATGAATGTTCAAATCTGTCACAATCTTCTTAAAACCGACCCCTGGTCATCACATTGTTCGCCCGGGCTGGCTGGGCCAACTAGCTCCACCCCGCGCCGGAATTCCTCTAGCTCATCGATAACGAAGACCTCTACGAGGTACTCTCTAGCTTCGCCGCTAACGCTCTTAGGGAAGCTCTACGAGTCATTTTGTTCTGTTTAACCTCCTTTCTCGATCTTGATCTCAGGTCGATTGGGTGCAAATTACTGTCCAGAAGCACTCAGACGGGATCGGCTGTTCAATGTGATCTCGACAGATGCTGTTGGTTCTCTTTACTTAATTCGAGAATTAGTAGAGCTACACAGCTGGCTGGCACGCCTCATCCATCCCAAATCATCAGTCGCGTTCGCCTCAAGTATCTAGATGTCTAAACTCGGTCTGCTACCAGAGCTGGGCCCGGCAACTATCCGTAATCTGCTTTTTTTTGAGATGATGATAAGTTTCTCGATGGAACTCGAGCTGCAGATGTGCTACAGATGTTTGGCACAGGAACCGGAGGATAATCATCATACGCGCTAGTCTCAAGTATCTCCATGCGCGAACTCGGTCTGCTACGAGAGCTGGGTCCGAAAAACTATTCGTACCCTGCTATTGTTTAAGAGATGACCATGAGTTGCTTGATTTGCTTCGAGCTGCAGATGAGCGTCAGAGCTGTTCGGCGCAGCAGTCGAAATTCAATCATCAGAAGCGCTAGTCCAAGCATCTAGATGCCCGAACTCGGTCTGCTAGCAGAGCTGGGTCGAAACAACTATTCGTTTTTTTTTTATATAAAAAAAGATGCTCGAGCTGCAGATGAGATACCGGGCTGTTTGGCACAGCAATCGTCATCCGACGCGCTAGTCCCGAGTATCTAGATGCCAGAGCTGGGTTCGAACAACTATTCGTACTCTGCTACTTTTTGAGATATTATGATGACTTTCTTGAGATAACTCGAGCTGCTGATGAGGTGCAGAGCTGTTTGTCGCAGCAATCGGAAGGAAATCATCAGGAGGACTAGTCTCGACAACCTAGATGCCCGAACTCGGTTTGCTAACAGAGCTGGGTCCGAAAAATTATTCGTACTCTGCTAATATTTCAAGGTATGGTGATTCGTTTCAACTCCAGCTGCAGATGGGCCACAGAGCTGTTTGGCACATCAATCGAAAGGAGAACATCAGAAGCGTCAGTCTCAAGTATCTAGAATTGCAAACTCGGTCTGCTTCAAGAGCTGGGCCCGCAAAACTATTGGTACCCTGCTAATTTTTCCGAGATGATGGTGACTTTCTTGATGTAACTCGACCTGCAGATGAGCTACAGAGCTGTTTGTCACAGCAATCGGAAGGACATCATCCGGAGCGCGAGTCTTAAGTATCTAGATGCCCGAACTCGGTTTGCTCCCAGAGTTGGAACCAAACAAATATTCGTCCTCGTATGATTTGTCAGAGATGACGATGCCTTTTACTTGATGTAGCTCGAGCTGCCGATGAGATTAGAGCTGTTCGGCACAGCAATTTGACGAATCAACAGGAGCGCTCGTAGCAAGTATCTACCTGTTTGAAATTGGTCTGCTACCAGAGCTGGAACCAAAAAACTATTCGTGCTCCTCGTCCTATTCCTTCTCCTCCGTTCTGCTCTTTCTTCTTCATCTGCTCCTGCTCCTCTTTCTCCTCCTGCTCCTTCTCTTCCTCCTTCCCCTCATCTTTCTTCTCTTCATCATGATCATCGTCCCTCTTCTCCCTCTCCACCCTTCCACGTCCTCCTCCATAAAACCGCGCCCTCGCGCGCGCGGAATGCGAGATTGCCGGGTTCCCAGCGGTAACCAAGGTTGACGGTGTACCGCGGGATCCCAGCTTGCAGCTCGAGTTGCATCAAGAAAGTCATCATCCTCTTTAAGAAAAGTAGCAGAGTACGAATAGTTTTGCGGGCCCAGCTCTTGAATCACACCGAGTTTGCACATCTAGATACTTGAGACTGACGCTTCTGATGTTCTCCTTTCGATTGATGTGCCAAACAGCTCTGTGGCCCATCTGCAGCTGGAGTTGAAACTAATCGCCATCTCTTAAAACAGTAGCAGAGTACGAATAGTTTTTTCGGACCCAGCTCTGTTAGCAGACCGAGTTCGGGCATCTAGATACTTGAGACTAGCGCTTCTGATGATTCTATTTCGATTGCTGTGTCGGACAGCTCAGTGGCTCATCTGCAGCTCGAGTTACATCCAGAAACTCATCACCACCTCTAAAACACGAGCAGAGTACGAATAGTTTTTCGGACCCAGCTCTGCTTGCATGCCGAGGTCGGGCATCTAGATACTTCAGACTAGCGCTTCTGGTGATTTCCTTTCGATTGCTGTGCCAAACAGCTCTGCAGCTCATCTGCAGCTCCAGTTACATCAAGAAACTCATCACCATCTCTAAAACATAGCAGAGTACGACTAGTTTTTTCGGATCTAGCTCTGGTAGCAGACCGAGTTCGGGCATCCAGAAACTTCAGATTAGCGCTGTTGATGATTCCCTTTCGACTGCTGTGCCGAACAGCTCTGTGGCTGATCTGCAGCTCGAGTTTCGTTCAGAAAACCGACAGCACCTGCTCAGAT